TCCGCCGCCCCCGCCTCCCGCCGAGCCCGCCGCCTGTTGCTGTTGCTGTCGCTGCCGCGAGGCTCGGTCTGGGTCTGGCGCTGTCCGCCGGGCTCCTCCAAAGAGACGCCTCCTCAGCCCTCCTCCTCCCTCCTCCGCGGGGCGCGCTCCCGCCCCTCCGCGTCCCCTCCGGATTCCGGCCCCCCGCGCGGGCGCGCGCCCCGCTCCCCGGGAGCAGCCGGGCCCAGCTCTTCCCCGCCGCCCTCCTCGTCCCTCTGGGCCACCCGAACGCCCATATTTTGCACTTCGGCGTCCCCACGGAGCCCTCGCCCAGCCCAGGCGGCCCCTTCTCCGGCCCCCCGAGGCCGTGTCGCCGTCGCGCGGCTTCCCGATTGGCCCTGGGCCGCACCGCAGCCGGCGAGCGCCGGCCTCCTCGCCCAGCAAGATCCACATGGGCCCCCCGGGGAGGCGGGCTCCGCGGAGCCGAGGTGGCCGAAGGCGGAGGCGGGCTAGAGGGGAGGATGGGGGCTTGCTGTGAGGCCGCCGCGGTGTCGAGGCAGGGAGTGGCAGGCCAGGTGGGCGCCTTGGGTAAGAGGCAAGACGGGTGCCTGCATCCTGAGCCCACTCGAGGGTGAAAGACCGCCAGGCCGGGAGGGCTCTAGATAATTTCGTTCCTGTTTGGATGAGAAGCCCAGCGGAGTAATGGGCTGAGGAGTTTCACACCCGGAATCTGAAGAAAATGGTCATTAAAGACATTCAGGGACTTCACTTCTGCAGTGGATAGTTCACACTACCTTTCGTAGCTGAGATTTCAGCCATTAGGAGGAATCAAGGACCCAGTTTCTGGTTAGGTTTGGCGAGGGCAGCCTGGCCTTATCAGTACAGTGAGTTTCCTATCGGTGCAAAAATTAGAGGAAAATAAAAAAGGAAATTCACATCTCAAGTCCGTGGTGGGAGGGACGGGAGCCAGACCAGTACCTAGGCCGTGCCTGATGTTCCACCGCTGGCCTTGCTGTAGGGAATTGGTCACGCTCTAGTTGTTAAACTGGGAGAACAGTCATTCTGCAACTTGTATCTCTGTTGCTTGATTTTGGCTTGGAGATAATAACTAACAATTGTCCCCCTTTGAACCTAAACTATTTCTTTAAATTGTTGTGGGCACACTGAACACAATTTCTGTTTCCAGACGTTTTAGCAACTCCAATTTAGAGTCAACCCTAGGCTTAAAAATGTGTTTTCGATGGTATCATTCAAATCATTTACAAAAGAGGAACTGTTGTGTAGACAATTCCCTCACCCTTCATACCTTAGCTGGCAATTTGACTTGAAGTAAGAGTGATTTGTGGTCATTGCTTTCCATACCACTTTCAACTGTGAGGTTCTCTAGGGCAGAGCCAGATCTTATCCAATTTATATTCCTAACAACTACCAAAGTGCCTGATCAATAGTAGGCACTCAGTATACGTTTGTTGAATTGAATTCCCCAACAAGTGATGCTTTGTATTTCTATCTGCTCTGGAGTGTCAACATTTATTTCTTCTGAGCCCAGGACCACTGAGATTCCTGGGATGAGTGGTGGGGAGAAACCAAGCTCCCAGTACAGCATGTTACTCAGTTATGCCATAGGGTTTCCATCTTTGCCTTTTCTGGGTACAGCAAGCACCCATGTTCTTTACTGTCCTTTATCTTCCACATCGCCTCCAGGTCAGTGCCAGGCACTGCAGGCAGTAACATGTTGTAAGATGGTAAAAGTGGACAACCATGTAAAGTACTCTCTCACAAAACTAGAACAGTGTACTTAAGCTGGTAATTAGGGTAGCAGTATAATCAATCATTCATATATTTAAATCTAAGTATAAGACAGATGGCTCGCTGCAAGGATGGCTGGTAGAAAGGCAAAGACCCTATTTTTAAAGACCGAATGTTTCATGCACTTCTATGTCTGACTTAGAAAGTGATTAATTTCTCCATTTGCAGGAATTAGTACTGAAATTAATATTAATCAATGGCAAGGAAGAGCAGAACAGAGGATGGTCCTGTGATGGATGGTCACAGCTCCTCCCTTCTGTGATCTCTCTCCTTCAGAAATGACTATTTCCATTCCTTTCATTTATTTGTTTTGTTTGGAAGACTGCTTATGAGCTTCTTAGGATGGTCCTTACTTTATATTTGAGGCCCAGAGAAGTTTGTTTCTTCAAGCTCACACAGCGTGTTTGTGGCAGAGTTGGGCTTAAAATCTTGGATTACTTCCAAATCCAATGTTCACTTTACTGTATCACACTGTGAAACTCTTATGTTGATCACTGTGAGTGCTTTGTAAATACTAGATTTCTAACAGCACCCAATTTTCTTCTGATTGCTGACTAGTTCACTTCAATTCATATTTATTTTAAGTGAAAACCACTTTCTTCTGATGGCTAGTCTATTGTTTATAGGAAAAGAGTTAGTGGGCAAATTCCAGCCCTGTTGGACAGCAGAACCCATCACAACAAATCAATGTCAAAAATGGCACTTCAGGAGCAAGTATACCATTTAGTTAGTACCCCCAGTGGAGTAGCTCAAAGTGATTTGAAAATGTCTCATTAATCCTCATGACACCCCTGTGGGATAATAATAATATTATTATAATGTTTAAGCATAGAACTGTGGCAAAGCTGACAGCTTCTCTGAGCATGTGCAGAATTTCCTTATATTTCTGTCTTTAATGTTAGAGCCTAAGTGAAACCATCAGATTTGCAAACAGCAGAGGTAAATCTTGGTGTTTGGGCTTTCTGTGTTGCTCTGGATGTAGCTTGAGCTTCTTACTGATCACAGCAGTACTAGAGATAGCTTATCAGTGGTTTACTGGATGTTTAGCAACCTCTGGAATTAGCCCAGAATTGAGAGTGGGACAAGGCAGGCCTAGAGATTACCATTAATTACAATTATACATAAATGAATGGAGAAAGAACACCTACTATGTGCAAAGCATTGTTCTAGATACCGTGGGAGTATGAAGTTGGAACATAGATCTTGACCTCAGTAGGCTCACATGGAGTTGGGAAGATGCGATATAAATCCAGGGAAAATCTTAACAGCAGCATTTAGTTAACAGTACAAGACAATAGTACCAGAAGTGTCACAAGATACCCTGTGATTATTTGGTCTATTCTAGCCAACCTGGCTGCCTCGTTGTTTCTCAATTATGCCAAGCTGGTTCCTACCTCAGGGTCTTCGTACTTGCTCTCCCCTCTGCCTGAAACACTGTTCCTCCAGATTTTCATATGACTTTCTCCATTACTTTAGGCCTCCATTTAAAATGTCACTTCATCAGAAATGACTCCCCTGATGACAACCACTCAGTTTCAAAGAGTTCCCCTTCCTCTCGCATCTTGGTAACTTTCTAACCTCTTACCTGCTTTATTTTTTCCTTATTGCATTTATTTACTTGAAATTTTATCTTTATTTGGTTACTTGCTTATTGACTGTCTGCTGCACTAAAACATAAACTCTCTGATGGCAGGGTTTTGACTTTTTCACTTCTGTGTCACCAAAGTCTAGAACAGTACCTGGCACAATCAGTATACATTGAATGGAGGAAAGAAAAGAGGCAGAGTGAACACACAAGTCATATGAAGGTACAATGAGTGAACCAGTGTTGCTGGTGTAGAGAGGTTATTTTGGAGAAGTATCTGTCCAGTTCTGGTTCTATTTCATAGAACCTGCTGGGCTGTGCATATGTATAAGGCTTGTTTTTTAAAGTGTCACTTCCCCCCTGTTTCTCTACTTTCCCTTCTCCCTACCATAATGGATGGGTCTATCTTGCACTCCAGAATTACATTCTCAACTCCCTGCTTGGGTATTCTTCCTGCAGATACCCCAAACTTAATATTTATAGCACTGAACTCATTATCTCTCTTTCCAAACTTGCTTCTCTTCCTGTTTTTCTTATTTCATGTGGGAATGTGAAGTCATCCCTGAATCGTTCCTCTACCCCCACACCCAGTCAGTCACTAAGTGCTTTCTATTCTCTCTCCAGGTCCCTCTGTATTCTGTCCTCCCCTCTCCATTCTCACCGCCATGATCATTTCATAACAGGCTCCCTGCTTTCAGTCTCTCTTTTATGTATTTCATCTTCCAGGAAGCAGCCAAGTTATTTTTGTAAAACGTAGATTTGATCACATTGCTCTCTAGTGCTGCTGTGATGATTGGCCCTGACCTGTCTTTCTGGCAGCCTCTTCTGTGTTCCTTCCATACCACTTGCCGGTCCCTGGACATGCCACGCAGTTACACACTGCCAAGCCTTTGCTCATGCTCCAGCTCCCTGGACATCCTGTCCACCTTTTCCCCACTAGTGAATTCAGTCTTCAAAGTGCGGCTTAGAGGTCACCTCTTGTGAGACCCTGAGCCTTGCTGTCAGCCATGATTACCGCTTTGAGAAAAGCTCAGAATAAAACTGATTATAAATGAACTCATGATTCTCTTTCTCATCAGAGCTTCTATGGCATTTTGTTCAGAGCTCCATTAGAGGGCTTTACTGAACTATATTTAGTGTGTATGATATGATCTGTCTCCCTATGAGAATGTGAACTCCATAATACTGATAGTTAACATAGTGAGCAGTGAATACACTGTGCTAAGCCAGGACTGTGTATGCACCTTATATGCAGTAACCTTCAATAGCCCTGTGGGTGCATAATATTAGTACTCCTAGTTCACATGTGGAGAAACTGAGTGCAGACTGGTAACGTCACTCCTCGCAAGAGTACACAGCCAGGAAATGATAGAACCAGGATTCAAACTGAGAAGTCCACAATCTCCAGCCCTACCTTAGACCACCTCTGTGAGGATTAGAGGGCTTATCTCATTCATCTTCATATCTCCAGTGTTCAGTATTGTGCTGATATATGAAAAATGTTTTTTGAATAGTATAATAGAAGAAAAGCGATTATGAGGCATGGATACTTACTCATTAAAAAACTGATAGACCATAATAAAGCTATTAGTCCTGTTCCCCAAGGCAAAGGTTAAAAAAGTGCTCTTCTGAATTTGTACCTTTTTTTTTTTTTTTTCTTGCGTTATGCGGGCCTCTCACTGTTGTGGCCTCTCCCATTTGCGGAGCACAGGCTCCGGACGCGCAGGCTCAGTGGCCATGGCTCACGGGCCCAGCCGCTCCGCGGCATGTGGGATCCTCCCGAAACGGGGCACGAACCCACGTCTCCTGCATCGGCAGGCGGACTCTCAAGCACTGCGCCACCAGGGAAGCCCTGTACCATTTTTTTAAAAGAAGAAAGATGCCCTATACAAGGAGGAAGTGACTCCAGAAGTAATGGGTTGGCCAAAAAGTTCTTTTGGGTTTTCTGTAGCATCTTAAGGAAAACCCCAAATGAACTTTTTTGGCCAACACAATAAATGCAGACTCCTGGGGTTTGGGGTCCTGACTGGGGTTAGGATGGCTCTCTGATGTTGCTCTGTCCCTCAGAATCACCCAACAGTCTGTGTTCCCACGTGGCAGGGTGATTCTCAGAAAAAAAATTTCTATCCTGAGAAGACTGAATTCTATCAGCAAATATGCCAGCAAAAGAGTTAAAAGTATTACGTTAGGGCAAGCATTTAAATAAGTCCAGTGTTTCTTCTTGAGCCTCCTTGTGTAAGAGGATGAAATCAGACACTGAAACACCTGTGTGGCTTTTTCTGCTTCTGGTTAATTTATTGAAAAATCAGGCACAGCCATACCTCTAATCATAGACAAAATGTGCGATTAATTATGAGACAAGCAGTAAACTCCCTGGTATGTGCAAATTATTTGTTTGCAGATGGGAATCTTAACATTTGTAGAAGAAATTGAATGGCTTTAGGACACTACCAAACATATTCACTTTCCTCTAGTGAGCTGTACATTACAAATAATACTTTCACCATGGTTTTCCTCAAAGTGAGTTTGACCAAGAATGTTTTAAAATATCTAGAAAATTCCTTTTATTTGTTTCTTCATGGTCCTCTGTGACACACTTTATTGTGAGGCTATGAGTGAGCCACAATAAAATTAATTTCAAGAGCTAAAATGGATTATTTTAGTTATTTGAGTTGATAGTAATGTGAACTTTGAGCATACATTGACACAAGATTGTAAAGCTTTAGCAGACATTTATAGAAATTTATTGAAATACTGTAAAGTCAAGGGTAAATTTTGATTTTTTTTTGTATTGACGTTCTGGTGAAAACTAAAACATAGTTTATTAATCTACAGACATAATGTCTCAGTGTTATTACTTTGTCATTACATTTTGCAATGATGTTGACAAAGCAATTCAAGAACAGCATTACCATTTTATTGAGTTTTCATGACAATGGTAATAATATTAATGAAAGTGTATAAAGGCCCAGAATGATCCAATAATTAGTATTATAATGATAAAAGAATATGAATGCAATTCTTTGGGAACTTCATCATACCTGAGATAAAATGCAAAAGATACATCAGCTGGTTATAAAATGGATGCAAATAAAACTAAACCACATTGTGATATGTTAGTCCCTTCCCGATCCAGACTCAGCTACAAGTATTGAAAATCTTCATGTATAGTCTTCACTCAGCACAACTCCATTCATAAGCCAATTCTAAGCAAACTTGTCAGAATATATCGGAAATCTCATTCTTACCCTCACCCATGGTGATGGGTCTAGAATCTATCTTGTTGCCCTAATTCCAGTGTGCCTGGGATGGGACCCCCATCGCCTATAGAGCTTCAGCCTTGTTCTGAACCCCTGCCATATTTTGCATGGTAGTAGGACCAGACCTCTACCTTAGCTTGCTACTGTCTCTCCAGTTTGCCCATTGAAACGAAAACCCTATCCTGAAACCTCAACTGGCTTGTTGAGATCCCATTTCTCCTTTTTGCCCTTAGTAGGTCCCCCAAAAGCTGAATCCTGCCATAGGCTGGAGTTCTTATTTATGCCAGGTGGGCCTCTTGGAGCTACATAGCTTCTACCACTCACCTGACTACTAGGATTGCCATTGTCTTTGCCCATCCTCTGGCCTTACATCTGCCACTGGTCTGGACCCTAGTCTGGACCTCATGGATAATGAGACTTTCCCAGCTTGCACCCAGATTTTATTCTCCCTCCTAGGATTTTATGACTTGAGAAGTTGGCCACTCTCCTTGGGGACCTGTCTTAAAGGTGAATTTATTCTCCTAGCCTGTACTCTCACCATTCCCAGCTTCCCTCCATATCCTTACCATCCGACTGAAGTCCTAGAATGCCTCATGACTGAATAACATGGGTTGACACACACAGCTAGAAATGCTAAACCAATTTAAATTGAAGTCCATTGTTTATATAGTCATTCAAATGAACTGATATATATATATATATAATCAAATATATATCAGTTCATTTAAATATATATCAGTTATATATATACTATATATATGCATCAATTCATGTAAATGTAAAATGGGGATATATATATCCCCATATGT